CAAATCATCAGCTAATTTTAAAATCTAAAAATACTATCAGATTAGAATGTGCAATTAGTTTTTTGATTTTCTAAAAAGAAACAAGATTATTTATAGTTACTGAAGTCTGAAGTGGGTGTTGAAATATATTAGCTGTGATATTAGTTACAGCCATAGAGTTAAAAACAGCAGTTTAAATCAAGATATTTTGAGCTTCCTGACCCTCTCTATATATGTCAGTAGGTTAAACAGTTTCGATTATATTTACAGGACTAAATTATTCTGTACTGAGACATAGAAACGATTTTTATTTTTACATTCTAATCAGTATTCAATCTCTATAAATTTACATGAACGTTTTTTGTTAATATCAGGCAAATAAAGGCTAAAAATAGGATAATGAATTAAAAAACCTACTCGTCGCTTGATTGATATAGGCAATCTATTTTTATATCCTGGAAACCATTCAAAAAATGTCAATTCGAATTGTTCAATAATATAAAAATGACGTTACTCTGATGGCCCTTTGCACTTAAAATAATGACGCAAGAGTTTATATTGACGTACGATTTATATTTGGCGTTATTTCGAGGAAAAAAGGCGTCAGCGATGGCTATGAAATGAAGATGGATGTCATTTTATATAGTGAATGATATAGATCGTCGTTTTTTTATCATACTGTTCATTAAAATCAGTAGCTAACCTGACTTCTTCGATTTATTTAGATCGTTAGTAAATCATTTTTCTCTGTAAAAAATGTTAAGTTGCCAAATTTATATTTATTTCCTGACATTGTCATTCGTTTTGAGACTTTAGTTTTGTATTACGAGTTTTTTCGTTTAAACGAATTGTGTTGTGCTACTTTAAGCTTAAAAAAATTTTACTAGCAGACCTTGCAGTGGAACGTAGTTTTTTTAGAACCTCTTTTAGTGCGAACTGTACTTAATAGCCATAAAAAACTCATTGCAACTTTATTAGAATATTTTCAACGGAAAAGCGGTAGTAATGGCCCTTTATGTCCCTTAAGTGCTGTTAAGAAGGTGAATTTTGTCAATGTAAATAATAACTGTTTATACAGGGTTGTTCACCACATACGACGCGGAGTATTATTATTATTAGCTAAACTCGTAGATTTTTGTAACTTGTAAGTTTTGGGTTCGTTGAAAGACTATTAGAGCAACAATTTAAAAATATTTTGACAAGATACAGAGTGGCCCAAATAAATAAAAAATATCAAAGTTGTATTTTATTAAATGGAACACCCTGTATATTTTTACATTTTTAGTTTCTACGATTAAAATAGAGGTAAATTTGATTAACGTTTACCGCATTTTAATCTTACTGTTTTTGAGATATTTAGGTTTTTGTCAAAATACAGTAATAATTTTAATGCTTTATTTCTCCAGGCGTATTTAAGTTTTTAAAACAAAATATTGTACTGAAGTATTTCTATTTACTAAATTTTGTGTTACAATAATAAAAATTATACTACCTTATACAGAGTATCTAAAAATTTATTTTAAATAATAACTAGCTATAAACGGCATTAACTTCCTTAATTTAAATGGAACACCCTATATATTTTATGATAATCAGATGCACAATTTAATTGTCTATCAAATTGTGTTATATCATTTTTTACCTATGACTTTAGGTTTTCGTAGAAAATGCATTTTCTTATAATTTAAACCTCAATTATCAATATACCTATGGAATATTGACATTTTTGATTATTTTTAAAGATGTAACAAATTTTTAAAGGGTACGGATACTAATATTGTCGATATAGTTCATTTATGTCATTAAAAAATTAAAAAAAAGATGTTTAAATGTTTGTAAAGAAGGACCAATTAATATGATTCTAGTATTCAAACTTTATTAATTGACTGTTTGCGTTGATTAATAATAATTGCTCCAAATACTAAAAAACTTAATTTTGTATGTGTTTTAGACAATGTGGTAAAAAGTAACACCACAGACTAACATAAAATTTAGTTTGTGGTATAAACTTAAACATTTTATTTAATTTTTTGCCGGATGCTTATTTATAACAACTGAGACGTCCATTTTCATAACTTATTATTATATTGATTTCTTATTATATTGATTCCAAATCCACATTTATTTAGAATAATTTATTAACTAACACAATTAAATATGTAATTAATTATTATTTGGGCGGAAATAATGGTGGTTTATTTAATTAATGGTATACTCTTTTATAAAGATTTAAATAGTTTTATTTTTGTATACAAATAGGCTGGTAATATTATTGTTTTTAGCACCTGTACCACAGTCTGTACATTTGTTGCTTTAAAACAATCTAAAATGTCAATATTCCATGGGTATATTGACTGTATGTATAAATGTATATATAAATATATTGATAAATCTATATTATAAGAAAATGCATTTTCTACAAAAACTTGAATGGATAGGTAAAAGTGGTATAAAACAATTTGATGGACAATTAAATTGTCCATCTGATTCTCCTAAAATATACAGGGTGTTTCATTTAAATTAAACAAGTTATTGCCGTTTAAAGCTAGAAATTATTTAAAATACATTTTTAGACACTCTGTATGAGGTAGTATTATTTTTATTATTGCAACATGATAACTGATGAATTATTAAACTTCAGTAAATATTTAGTAGTAAAAACTTTAATATCCTTGGAGAAATGAAGGCTTAAAATTTTTACTGCAATTTCACAAAATTGAAAATATCTCAAAAACGGTAAGGTTTAAGGGTGATATACCTTTGTTTTAATCATAGAAACTAAAAATGTAATAATATACAGGATGTTCCATTTAAAAAAATACAACTTTGATATTTTTTATTTATTTGGAACACTCTCTATTTTGTAAAATTATTTTTAAATTGTAGCTCTAATGCCCGGTTTCTCAACATATAGCGTTATCGAGTCGATAACTATGAAGCACATAAATTTATCCAACCGATAACTTTATTTGGGTTTCCGAACGACAGCCTGTCGAATAAAAATGAGGCAATAACTATCTAATAGATATTTTAGTTCTAGTATAAGTTGTAGGTTGCGCTAGCGTGTTTACAGATTTCGCTCGTTAAAGTAGGGTGGTTTTATAAGAAATAGTGTAGATGTCGCTTTGTAGGCCAGCAGACCATTGACCTTATGTATGTCATTTGTCATTATTTTCTTCAGTTAAAGCAAGGCACAATACGTATACGTATATGTCGACACGTAACGCAGAAACCTACGTTACGTCTGCCGTTGCGTTGTCGTGTAAAACAAGAGCTAAAGCAAGTATTTTGACGTACGTAACGCAAATGGTACATTTGTAATTCTAAATTATTTTGTGAAACAATTTATTTAATGTTAAAACTGAAAATGGATATCTATTATTCCATTGATTCCACATTAAATTTATAAAAGTAATATCGAAAAATGAAGAAAATTATAAATAGAAATTATTTTATTACAGAAAGTAGTCCTTACAACTCAAAATGCTCTTTTTACACAGTTTTATGATTATTTATTAGATTCCATCTTTTAGAATCCTCATATGGATTTTGGCTAAGAACTAGCATTTAATTAAATAGTTTCCAAAATGAGTTTATTCTGATGCTTAATATTTTCATAGTAATTTATTGTAATAAAATAGGCTCAGTTCTGTTACACTGGCCCCAAAATTTATGAAATAACTTAATTACTAGCCGGTTGTGGAAACGAGTTGTTTGTGAATTTGTACGTTCGGCATAATTCGGGTGAAAATCGAAACTTCTTCGGCTCGATACGTTTGCGTTTTGTACGTACGTAAAGATACGTATCACGTATCCGTAAACGCAAGTGAATTTCTTACTGCGCAAGCGTACATGTCAAACGATACGTTTACGTCTACGTCTTTGGCAGTGCTTTAACTGTCTATTTTCTTCATCTATGGTCATCGTTACTTGTCAGTTTGTGCTTGTCAGTTTTCACGTGTTTCTGTTCGTTGGAACAGACAAAACTGTTGGATTTTGACAAAAACTAAAAATCTAAATAAAAAAACTAAATATCTAACTAATTCTAAATATTCTTCATCTGAAGACGTAGATGAGCTAGAATAATCCATTTTAGAAAATGTGACACTGTAAAGCGTAAAAGGAAAAATAAAAGTATTCTAAAAAGGGCTAAATAAAAACTGTAACGATACACGTGATTTATGAACGATACTAAATACTTAAAAAAGTTGAGTTACAATCGCCAAAACAGTGGACCACAGCAGTGCTTTACAAGGCGCTTGCGCCAGATATCATCGGCAGATATCCTAGAGATATATGCCCATTTTCTGTAGATATCTATTAGATAACTTATGTAACAGATAGGATTTGTCAAATCGTTCAGAAACCCAGTTTGAAAGATATCTGTAGTATATGAGTACTATAAGTTTATGTAATTCATATCTACTACTTGAGAAACTGGGCATAAGGGTCCTTCAACGAACCCAAAACTTACAATTTGTAAAAATCTAATCGTTTAGCTACAATACTCCGTGTCGTATGTGGTGAACAACCCTGTATAGTTAAAATTATGTAATTTATTTTTGTTTCCTAAAATATTTTGATTAAAAGAAAATATTTAAAAGTGGGCAACGCTGTGCCGGTCAAGCTTAATCACGTGACTAAAAGTTTATTTGATATCAACTATATGTTTAAAGATCTCAGGGCGGGGCAACACAACTATAACTTCTTTCTGTTGACGTTTTAACAGAAATGAAAAAAATATAGGTATCTATCAGCTTCTGGGTGCGCTTCTAAAAGAATGCAAGGCTATCCACCGCATTGCATTTTTTGCACTAAATATAAACGGATGAACTGTAACAGTTAGAGTGTTTAATAGCAATGATTACACTTGATATAGAGATTGTTATAAACACATAGGTAGGCAGAAATCAAAAACTAGACAATGTGCATGGTTGGATGAACTTGGATGGATGGTGGAAATGGTAGAGTACCTTTTCTGTTAACTCTCTGTTAGACTAGTTTGCGTGTAACAGAACGTACGAGCGGGTAGTACCATCGCATCGCCGAAGAAATCCATCGAGTTCGCGGATTTACCATCGGCGGTACCGTGGAAAACAGTGCGTTTTTCATTAGACAGATTGTTTTGATATAGTTGCATCGGTTCATTTTATTCTTTTTTTAATTAATATAACAGGTAGGGTATTTTGTTTTTTATTATTTTAAATAAATATTATTTTTTTATTAAAAATTTTATTGTACTTTAAAGTTTAATATATTTTGTTCTAGTGGACCGATTTTTAATATTTTTTATTAAATTATTTGACTTTTTAGCCTCCTTTCAAATTAAAAATTATTTTTTTTTAAATCTGTCTATTATACGAGAGAAAACAAAATATTAGTATTTTAACGAAAATTTGAAACACCCTGTAGAAGGGTTTAACAAAGTAAGGAAGTTAAAAATCACTGTGTTGTCAAGGTGCATCGTTTCTCGATAATTTTGTTTTTGATTATTCTCAATAGGTTTTTTGTTGGAGATATTAGCTTTTGAAGGAGACTCCAAAAATTAATAACAATATTAGCACTCAAAGCACGTCTGTTTTGGTTTCATGCAACTATAAAATAGTGTCTGTTGTTTTTGTAATGCCGCCATCGAAAATTGAAAAGCCATGTTATTATTGGTTGTTGACAGCTATATATACAGGGTTGTTCACCGCATACAACACGGAGTATTGTAGCTAAACGATTAGGTTTTTACAAATTTTAAATTTTAGGTTCGTTGTAGAGTTTAGAGCTACAATTTAAAAATATTTTTACAAGATACAGAGTGTCCCAAATAAGTAAAAAATATTATAGTTTTATTTTTTAAATGGAACACCCTGAATATTATTCTATTTTTAGATTTTACGATTGAAATAAAGGTAAATTTGATTAAGGTTTATCACAATTAAACCTTACCGTTTTTGAAATATTTTCAATTTTATGAAATTGCAGTAAAAAATTTAAGGCTTCATTTCTCCAACGGTATCGAAGTTTTTAATACTAAATATTTAGTGAAGTTTATTTATTAATCAGATATTGTGTTGTAATAAAAAAGAAAATACTATCTTATACAAAGTGTTTAAAAAATTATTTTAAATAATTACTAGCTTTAAACGGCAATAACTTGTTTATTTTAAATGGAACACCTTGTATATTTTAAGAGATTAAGATGCACAAGTTAATTGTCTATCAAATTATATTATACCATTTTTAACCTATCTCTTCAAGTTTTCGTAGAAAATGCATTTTCTTATAATTTAGACCTCATTTATCACTATACCAATGTAATATTGACATTTTAGATTTTTTTTAATAATAATGTAACAAATTTTCAAAGAGTACAGATAAGAATATTGTCGATATAGTTCGCTTATTTTATTAAAAGATAAAAAGCAGTTTAAATATTTTTTTGTTAAAGAGAACTAATTAATATGATCCCAGTATTCAAACTACATTAATTGAATGTTTACGTTGATTAATAATAATTGCTTCAAATATTAAAAAACTGAATTTTTTGTGAGTATTAGACAATGTGGTAGAAAGTAACACCTTATAAATTTTATTTTATTTTTTGACGAATGCTTATTTATAACCGAGACGTTCATTTTCATAACTTATTATGGTATTGATTTCTGAGCCAAATCCACATTTATTTAGAAGAATTTATTAATTAAAACAATTATGTATGTAATTAACTAATTTTTGGGCGGAAATAATGGTGGTATATTAATAATTAGTAATAACTGGTATACTCTTTTACAAAGATTTAAATAGTTTTCTCTTTGTAAACAAATGGGCTTGCAATATTATTATTTTTACTACCAGTACATTTTCTACATATGTTGCGTTAAAAAAAACTAAAATGTCAATATTCCATGGGTATCATAAACCATGGGTATGATAAACGAGGTCGAAATTATAAGAAAATGCATTTTCTACGAAAACTTGAAGAGATAGGTAAAAGATGGTATAATACAATTTCATAGACAGCATTCCATTTAAATTAAACAAGTTATTGCCGTTTAAAACTAGTAATTATTTAAAATAAATTTTTTGACACTCTGTATAAGGTAATAAACTTTTTATTACTGCAACACAATATCTGATCAATAAATAATCTTCAGTAAATATTTAGTATTAAAAACTTTAATACCCTTGGAGAAATTAAGCCTTGAATTTTTTACTGCATTTCACAAAATTGAAGATATTTCAAAAACGTTAAGGTTTAAGTGTGATAAACCTTAATCAAATTTACCTTTATTTCACTTGTAGAATCTCAAAATAGAATAATATACAGGGTGTTCCATTTAAAAAAATACAACTATAATATTTTTTACTTATTTGGGACACTCTTGTACTTTATTTTTAAATTGTAGCTCTAATAGTCCCTCAACGAACCCAAAACTTAGAATTTGTAAAAATCTAATCGTTTAGCTACAATACTCCGTGTCGTATGTGGTGAACAACCCTGTATAGGTACTCTATAAAAGATAATAATTATAAGTCTAGAAGTTACATCGGCTATTATTGATTTAATTGAACAAGGAACTATCACAACTACTGTACTTAAAATCATCACTTTTAGAATAACTACCAAGAAACAATAATAAGTATCATGTTTTTTTATGAAGGTGACATTCGAAAAAGCATACACTCTAGGTACTTCATAGATACGTTGATGAGGACCAGAAAGCAAAGGCATGGTTTTAATGCTAAAATTGCTGTAAATCGTTACTGTCTTCTTCAAAAGCAAACATATCCAATAAAAATAAAACTTTTGAGATATACCAAAAAATAAACAATCGAGAAAAGATGCGTCTTGATGATTAAGTAATTTTTAAATTTCTTACTTTGTTAAATGATTCCACAGGGTCTTTCGTACAAAAAAATATTTTGTTTTTCCACGTAGATATGCAGTGTTACTGATATTATGTATGGGAACGGTCGATTATTAGGGAAAATATACAAAGTACCGCAAAAAGTTAAATACAAAAGTTATAGGCTTTTTACATGTCTGTTATAGCTAGTAGTAAATTTAAGCATACAGGGTCGGTCATAAAGTTGTGGCACTTCAACATTTATTTTTTTTAAATGCAGTAGTATATTATTGCATATATCAATTCTTCCTTCAATTTGAAGCAATAACAGTAATATACACATAATGTCCCTAAATTCAACCATTTCCGAATTATGAAGTTTTGATTTTGAAATGTTAAATGAAAATTTTGTAATTTCCAGACAAGACATAATCTCTTTTTATACATCTATAACTGCTAAATTGAGAGCTAATGTCAAGTATTATTAAAGTACCACAGTTTCCGAGGATTCGTCGTTCCACGTTAAAACCCGCTTTTAAAAACATTAGTAAACTTTTCATTTTTTGTCTTATTATCATCTCCAAACGATGCAATTAATTGTAGTAAATGCAATTTTTTGTAGTACTAATAATTTTATTAGTCAGAAAAAGTAAACAATTGAGCGCAATGTAATAAAGAGAAAAAATATTGTTCTAATATAATATGTCCAAAAATCTTCAAAATCATTTGTAGTTTTATGTAGTAGCAAAAAAACTCAGTGAGAGTTTCTTGGAATTCGTGAAGTTAATAGTCAGTTTTCTGACTAATTATTAGTATTACAAAAAATTGGATTTACTACAATCAATTGCATTGTTTGTGTGATGATAATAAGCCAAAGAGCGAAAAGTTTACTGATTAATGATAATCTTGTAACCGGCCAAGACAAGACACGAAAAAGATTAGACGATCAAATATATTTTTCCAAAGCTCCTTGATTAAAATTAGTGTTTTTAACACAGCCGTGGTACTCTAGATCGAAATTTAAAATACGATTTTTAAGCGAAAATGTCAAAGTTGACATATGATATGTCCTTCTATTCAGAGTGTCATTTTATATCGAGTAAAGAAAAAATATACCGAGGGTGCTATTTAAAAATCAACATTGTAGTCATTTCCGGTGAAACAGGAAGTGACCTAAAAGAATTGAATACTTCAATCATATACAGTGTGACCCACTCAAGACCGGGCATCCTCCATAAAATCTGTGTTTATAGTCCGATTTTGATGATTTTTTTTTCAAATATAAAGTTTCAAAAAATGTACTTTAGGGCTCAATGTCATGTTATTTCACAAAAAACAAGGCCTACTTAATAAAGTTTTTGTGGTGAAAAATTTGCAAAATCATATTAGCGATTTTTTTTCAAAAAATTTGAGTACACCCCTACATTCGGCATCCCTCAAAACAGTTCTGTACCAAATTTCGTTTAAAAATATTAATTATTAATAATTCTGCAGTTAAATTAAATAATTCCCTATTTTTGCCAATTTAACGATGAGTTATAACGTAACCCTTGAAAAAAACAATCCACAACAATGGGTTTTATTAGCTGTCAATTCTTGCAGCGTAGAATTGAATATTAATTTAATAGCACGCAGAAAAGTGTTGTATCAAGAAATATTATTTGCATTATGGAACAATTAAATATTAGGGATAAAATTGAAATGATTCGTTTAGTGGGTGATAACTATCTTCAAGCAGGAGAAGCTGCCAGAGAATTTAACAACAGACATCCCGACAGACCTGCAGTAAGTAGAAGCACGGTTCAACGAATAAATAGAGTTTTTAATGAAACTGGTTGTGTGTCAAAATACTTACTAAAAAACAGAAGGCCGGAACATTGAATAAATAGGCGGAATGAGGAAATATTAGAATATTTTCGTAACAATCCTCGTGCAAGCATTAGAGGCGCCAGTGTTGATTTGGATATACCAAGGGAAAATATTAGGAGATGTTTGCGAACTAATAAAGTTAAACCCTTTAAACCAAAGATTTTACACACTTTGGAAAACGGAGATGATGTTAGACGATTGAATTCTGCTTATGGGCTCAAGCAGAGTATTTAAATAATAGAAATTTCTTAAAAGAAATTTTATTTAGTGATGAGGCAACATTTAGTACAAACGGAGTAGTATCCTCTCAAAATTCGCGATTCTGGGCAGTCGAAAACCCTGAATGGGTGATCAATACAAGAAGACAGTATTCTCAGAAATTAAATGTGTGGTGTGGCATACTTGATGATAGAATCATTGGTCCATATTTTTTTGAGAGAAATTTGAATAGTCCAACGTTTTTGAATTT